ATGATATCGGGGTCATGCCAGCGAACAATGTCTACCACGCGATTGATCAAGTCTAGTTCGCTGGTTTCATGTTCCCAGTCGATTCTCAAGGCTTTGGATGCCTTGATATCTGGCCTGTCGTCTTCCGATTGAGATATCATGCCAACATGAACCCCTGGCACCGTACCGTTGGCATCAAGGTCCTCATCTTCCGACTGCAGGCACCAGAACACACATGTAATCTCATCCTCTTCTGGGTTCGGCGACAGCACACCCCGGGTGTTCACATGCACCTCCAGGCTCATTATGCTCATATACTGTGTCTGGTGCTCGACACTGGTGGATTTTCCTTTTTGTGAATATTTGAAGCCATAGCCATTCTTCTGGGTAGGGCCTTCGATCTGTGACAAGACATTCGCCTTCATTTGCACCTGCTTGGATGTTTGGGGTTGAGCGGCATCTGCTTTCTCCTCAGCTTGAGACTTTTCGAACCATTCGATAACTTCTGAGCGGCTTGGAGGAACAGGGGCAAACTCCCAGAACCTAGAGGTAGAGAACTCCCGCAGCTGCTGGTCAACCACCTCTTGTTCGTTCTTGTCTCTCGGTGGAGTATATTCCCCTAGCATAGCCATAGACCGCCCTGACGGATCGAAGTCGGGGAGATAGTGTATACCACTACCTTCTAAGCGGAATTCCCTCCCTGCGTAATCCCTCACACGGTCAGGCACATCACTCTCATCGCTGTAGTGCGCTTTCTGATAAATAACGGACGGATAATCATAGCAATGAGGTGTCGAAGCGACCTCGCTAGTACTGGGAGAGAAATTTCGCAAGAAACAAATGCGAGCATTCATAGGCATGTTAAAGGCAGCATAGAATCCTGATGCTATTTCCAAAATCTGCGGATCTATGCCAGCATCAGGACTTGTTACAGTGACTGATGACTGCGGTTGTGATGAGTTGTTCTCCGCTCTGATATCTTTCGAAATAATATCTGGCCCAGAACTGGCTAAATCTTTTTCTAGTTCTCTAAGTTCCTTAGAAGAAGGCGCACCGTCCTGGCTGAAGCGCAAGATTGTCATAGGATCATTGGGGTCTTTAACGACCGGAAAGTTGAGCCTTCCACTCTGTTCAGGCCTCTTTGAGCGGACAGTGGACTGAGATAGCTTTTTTTGTGAGGATTTGCCCCTTACAACTGCATCCGCATCCGACGTGTTGGCGGCATCTTCGATTTTGGGAGTTGTACTGTTGACTTGAACTTCAGCTATCCGAGACTTCCGCGGCCTATCTAACATCTGCGATGGGGTGTCATCGAAGAATCTTTTCCGCTTGCGCAGATTATTATGGCTGGGCTCTCGGCTTTCGGTTCGTCCGACTATTTCATCCGAACCTGCTTTTCGCGTCGCACTCATTTCGTAGGTATTTAGTTCATCAGTGGAGTACCCCGGTTCGTCTTGGGCTAGGTCAAGGATATCTCCGGCCTGGTTTTCATCCAAGGCGTCTGCAGCTTCCCGGTCATTGTCTTCTCCGGGTAATACGTCGAAAAAATCATCGCCGGAAAGGTATGAATCATCATCCGAGACCGCAGGCCAAGCTGCGCTCTCATCAACGTTGACTTCTGCGTTCGCCGCCGTATCAGGCTCGACAGGTTGTTGTTGATACTTATCAAAATCGTTCTTGTCCGGATAGAAATCCTCGACACTCTGCATCGCAGTCTTTACATCCTGGGAGAAGGGCTTCTGCGAAAGTAAATCATCGAATGTTACATCGCCGCAACCAGTCTCCTGCTTCTCCTCATTGACGGTCTGCGCAGCCATTTGACGATACTCTTCTTCGTGGATCCAGCCACCTCGAGAAGTATCTCTTGGGTTAACAGACAAAGAAACTAATTCGTTGGCATCGAATGGGCTACTGCCCGGTTCGAGACCCAGACGCTTCTTCCGCCTGCGTGTCTCATCCTGCCACAAACCTGCCATGCTCGGAACAAGTCGTTCATCAGAAATCATTTGCTTGAAAAGTTCGGTAAAATCCTGATGGATGGTTCTTTCGCTGATTTCTGAGCGGTTTAGAATGTCCTGGACGCAAATATCGACCTCTAGGGGACAATGGCTTTGCTTTGGAAAGAAAGAGTCGTCTAACAGGTCGTCGGGTTGTACGGATCGGTCGTGCCAGCGATGGGATAGATCAGTAAGTTCAAAGTATTCTGGAACCGGACTGCGGAATTTGACTTTGCTACACTTCAGATAGGCGCATCCGTATAAACTGTAGTCACACATCCACTGCGGAACGAACTGCAAATGACTTTCGTATGGTTGTAGGGGACGCTTAAGGACAGCGCCCTGAAGTAGCAAGTCCGCCAGCCTGGTCATATAAATGGGGTTCATGAGATAGATTTTAAAGTAGAACTTATAGCCCACATGATACCCATAGAAGGGAACACCCTTCACCAGAGTGATGTGCGCAACGAAGGGTATCTTCTTGGCGTTTTCGTTGCGATTGTAGCTTACTGCCAGTGCATGATCGATCGAGAGACGGAGACTCCTAATGGCGGAGCTCACTATAGATGGCTTAGCTGCATGAACATACCATATTGTTACACCTCTTATCAGACCAACCTTTCTCTGGCTCCAGATCACCGTCATACTCGACATACAAATAAGGAAAGGCGCCATGCACATGGACGCACACCTTCTGGCCAGTCTCCGTGGCACCAAATATCCTAATTACGGGGACTTTCGATCTATCATTTTTCCCAGCCGCACCATCCCTGTAAGGCAGAGGAGGGTCGAGTTCTGACGGAGTTGCCTGGTAGTGATCCACGCAGTTAAGGCGCACTTGGAAGGGTTCCATAGCTTGAGTTCAGGACAGCGGAAGCTGTCAGCGACCGAACGCGCGAGGAATTTCGAGTCGCGTCATATCAATAAATCAGGTACCGACAGCATCACCCACTGCTTCGCCGTCCAACTCTCTTTTTTCACTGCGACGTGTAGGAAGTTGTGGTTGAGTTTACGCGACTGGGTGGCGTGGGTAATACGCCAGGTCACGTGAGTGATACGGAACCGTCGCCGACTCCCATCAGCGCGGAGATAGAATCAAGAACTTGACATTCACACACATCTGCTGGTTTTACCGGAGAAATTTGAGTCCTTGGCGGCGCTATAGCTCTTTCTCCCTTCCCCTATACTTTGCGCCTTCTGATTCCTGCCATCCGCCATCATGTCTAAAAAGCCCGCCGATGTGGCGTCGAAAGAGCGCAACGAGTATATTCCGTCTTTCATTTCGAAAAAGCCGTTCTATATCGACGACGACTCTCAAGCAAATGACTACCTAGAGCATCAACGTCTGCAAAAGTCGACAGCAGACCAGTCAAAGTGGTACGATCGTGGCAAGCGTGCTGGTCCCGCGGCCACCAAATACCGGAAAGGTGCCTGTGAGAACTGCGGCGCCATGACCCACAAGACGAAAGAGTGTCTGAGTCGCCCTCGAAAGCATGGTGCCAAATGGACCGGTAAAGATATTCAGGCGGATGAAGTTATACAAGACGTCAACATGGGGTGGGATGCGAAGAGAGATCGGTGGAACGGCTACGATCCGAGCGAATATCGACAAGTGGTGGAGGAGTACGAGGAACTTGAGAAATTGAAACGAGTCACAAAACAGGATGGCGAAAATGAGGGCAAGGATGGCGAGGCCGATGACGATGAAGATGCGCCTCAGGAGGAAGCCCGCTACGCTGAGGAGTCCGACATGGGAAGACAACAGAGCACCGCCACTCGCAACCTCCGTATCCGAGAAGACACGGCAAAGTATCTGCTGAACCTGGACCTCGATTCGGCCAAGTACGACCCGAAGACACGACGGATGGTTGATATGGGCGCTCAGGATGATCAGGCAGCAGCACTTGTTGCCGAAGAGAACTTTGTCCGCGCTTCAGGTGATGCTGCTGAATTTGAGAAGGCGCAAAGATATGCCTGGGAATCACAAGAACGTGGTGCGCAGAAGGTCCACCTGCAGGCGAACCCGACAGCTGGAGAGGTCATGCGGAAGAAGGAGGAGGCAGAGTTCGTGGCGAAACGTGAAGCTCAACGGAAGGCTCTTCTGGATAAGTATGGTGGTCAAGAGCACCTCGACCCCACACCGTTGCGGGATACAATGGTTGTTGAGAACGAGAGGTTCGTCGAATATGACGAGACGGGTGCGATTAAGGGAGCACCAAAGAAGGCGGCCAAATCGAAGTATGCTGAAGACATCTTCACCAACAACCACACATGCGTCTGGGGAAGTTGGTGGCACAACTTTGAGTGGGGATACGCCTGCTGCTTTTCCACCGTCAAAAACAGTTACTGTACTGGTGAAGATGGGAAGCGCGCATTCCAGGAAGCAGACCAGCTGCTGATGCTGTCTGAGAACGGGGCCGATGGTGACGAGCCATCCGCTGAGCATGAAGATAACGACGCGCATGAAGCTGTTGATGATGCTCAATCCTCAGAGCAGCCGAAGGAGTCATCTAACGGTAATGCTAAGAAGAGAACGCTCATGGAGGTGCAGTCTGGAATCACCGAGGAAGAAATCGAGTCATACAAGCGAAGCCGACTTGCAGCCGACGATCCTATGGCCGCATTCATTGGCAAAGACGAGCTTGTTTAAACGCTCCTATAACATTACAAATTTCACCAGATCTGCTATATAGGCGCATAGTAGTTGTCATAGATACCCATCCAAATTGTGCATATCCTGATATCTTCTTCTATAGCTATAATCTGTAATTCCAGTCTTATTATCGGTATAGATTCTTCATCACTATCTGGACTAAGTACGGAGTAGTTCGGTAGATGCATAGATAGCCTTATTGCTCCCGGGCCGCGATACCCTAGTCCCCTAGTAGCCTAGTGCAATGGAGCAATAAAGTGGATCCCGCCGGAGCAAACAGAATTACTCTTTGCAGTTATGAAGTCATGTGACAGACTCACCCTTGAGGCTGTCGGCGAATCACGGGACCAGGGCACAAGCCCTGACAACCACAACTCGCTAAGCGACACCACCCCAGATCCCAGAGCAACTTCGATACGCCCAGCGACGACGACAACGACAACCAGCCCTTCAACGGAATCGCCAGGTAGGTCCATTTTGCGCCCTCACGTGGGATTATTGTCATTTTTCCCCAGGCCGGGAAATTTTTTTAATCTCGATTTTCCGTCGCTAACAAATTGTGCCATATAGTTCCACATAATTCAAGATGAGTACGTGCCAACGCGATATACCACCGCCCAGTCCGATCTATCGACGAGAACAACATCCAGACTGACATACCGATTCTGCTTACAGCGAAGGGTACCTCCAGCTTCGGAAAGCGCCACAACAAGACTCACACTCTTTGCCGGCGTTGTGGTCAGTATTTACACTACTCCGAAAATTTATATATGTCCTCCGGGCGGGAATTGTTATACGGGAGATCTCTACACAACCAACGGAATGGATGAGAGAAGGAACGGAATAATAAATGACTGCCGGGAGGGACATATATATGAGGTTATGGGGAAAACGACCAGATGGGCTAATACTCTTCGGATTGAATTCAGGCCGCCGCTCCTTCCACGTCCAGAAGTCGACTTGTGCCAACTGCGGTTACCCTGCCGCTAAGACTCGCAAGTGTACGAATCCTTCTCCCCAAAACCCCACCATCGAAGAACAACCGCCGGTTCCTTGAGAAACCTTGGATACGGATTGTATGAAAAATGTTTGGATGAACAATTGGCTTACGAAGTTCGTTTTATACAGTCAACTGGAGCGAGAAGGCCAAGCGCAGAAAGACCACCGGCTCCGGCAGAATGCGTCACCTCAAGGAGGTCCACCGCCGCTTCCACAACGGCTTCCAGGTCGGCACCCCCAAGGGCGCTCGTGGTCCCGAGAACCACTAGATTCCCCCCTTTCGATGACTGTCGCGTTTTCGTTTCGTTCTCGGAGGCTGGAGGCAGGGCTGGTATGACAGGGCCGGTTGGCATTTGACGACGTGAACCGGGTCGCGAATGCTAGGGGCAATAAAAAAAAGACGCTATTCCCCGTGGAGTTGGTGTTGGGACGGTCTTTTTTTTTCATATTTGCCGTCATAGCATTTCTTTATTCTAGAGAAACACAAAAATGGCATATATTGACGACAATGTGAAAGAAGAAAAAAAGACGCTCGTCTTCTCTCTTGCTCTCTGGGGATGTTTTCTCTTTTTTCTGTTTCAAAGAAAGAAATGAAATGGGAAACTTTATGCATGAATTTCCTTGTCTTGTTTAGGGCTGGCAGATATCCCATGTCGTGACAGATGCAGTTTGAGATTATTCGTCCAATGTGATCTGTCTACTTGAATGCAACCTACCCTTCGAGTGCGTACGATGTGGTTTCTGCGACAACAGGTGTGCTTTTTCGATCCAATTGCGACAAGATTTCTATTTACCCCGGTCTATTGTTTTCCGCATGCACGCCTGAACGCCTGGACATGACATGGAATGATGCAATAACTTTAGTATCTATTCTCCTCGCCCGAAGACGCTAACACCACCGTCCCTTTGAACGAAATATAGGACTTCCTTCTCTTCCCAATGACTATTAGCCTCGGTGCTGTCATTTTGCCCCCACGCGCCACCTTTGCTGACTCTGAGCACACCGCTGACATCCCTTGCGGCACCCGTTTCAAGGTTTCGGAGCTGCATAACCATGTGCGCCCGATGAGCCGATCCGATAGCAAAAGCGGCATGCTCAGTCTCCAGCGGAGTTGCTCCCTGGTGCGCAGATGCGGAAGCATTGTGGATCAACGGAGAGTCAGAGGACGCCGTCATAATCGTTGCGTGAGCGTACTAGGCAAATAAGCTCGCGGTCAGCGGATATGGTTCCCGATATAAATACCGTACTGCCTGTGGAGACTTGTAGCATACCTGTTGTAGACCCATCACCCAATCTCCCATCTCTGTAGCGCCTATGCCCCTGCTCGGACCCGTAGCGGCTAGCAGCAGATCTGGCTGATCGATAACCAATACAACCTCGGGCTCTTCCTGTTCATCTCCGGATGTTGATGTTTTCATGTCATTGATCACTGCCGCAATGTCCTTCTCGAGCACATCCAAAGCCGCATTTCCATTTCCTGATAGGTGAAGCCGCTTGACTGGCCCGAGTTCTCTCGATGTTGGCGGGTTTGGAGGGGCAGCGACTGGCCGAGCAGCGGGTTGCGGTCCTCGCGCGGGTTGCGGTCCTCGCGCGGGAATGGGTCCGGGCTGCGACCTGAAGGGAAGAACTGTGCGGGGAGGCACTGTTCCTCGCGGTGAGGGTTGGATTGTTGGTGTCTGAGTCGAAGTAGTGGAGGGGGCGGCGAAAAGTTCGGATAGTCCGTCAACGAAGGCGAACTGGCGTTTGTCTGTGAGGCGGGCAATATCGAGGCCCTAGTCGGGTCAGCGTCGTCGCCAATTTTTTTGGATAAGTAGACAGCATTTATAGTGGTTTTAGAGAGAAACGGAAGTATTCAAGCCTCGCACGGCCCGAATATTCCATAAAATATGACCAAATAGAGCGACGTGACAAGGGTTCACAAGCATACCAATCTTTTGGCCTCGGACCTCCAAAATTCCCAACCCCGCAGAAAACTCACGAGCACAACCTTCCTCTTTCTCCCATTGTTGGTGTCGCTGAGGCCTGCAACAGCGTCTGACGTCGAAGACGAATTCAAGGCAGCATATAGAAATCGTAGGACTAGCCAATTCCCTGTTGCGCCAAGGACTGAAGATAGGACTGTGAGGGACGATGGCGGCAGAGACGATACGTAGGGAGTGAGGAGGGGTGGGAGGGGCGGTTGGCTAGGCATCGCACTGAGAGCGTCGCAACTGCTCCGTCTTCAAAATCGTACGGTCGGATAGCACTGATGATATCTCCCAGCTGATGGAGACGACTTCGAATTCGAGATTGAAATTGTAGAAACGATAGCTGTATTTTTTGTCTGCACTTTTTGTAAATGACGTTGTATGAAATTGGAATTCCTACGGATTTTTGCGATTGGTCGGCGACGGTGCCAAGACAAGTCACTGGATCGATCAATACGGAAGGTGCGATGGGGGGCCTGCCTGTTTACTACTTACTAGTTGAAGATGATCGTGGTCTTCCCCCTGCTCATCTCGGGGATGACTTCTTTTCTCATCTACTAGTCATCATGTCTTTCATCATCTTGGATGTCCTCTTCGCCTAGTCTGAGCTGATCAAGTGGTTGGATCGTGTATCAGTAATGAAACGCTGATCACGTCCCCGAGCTCAGTGCTGTACCCGAACTAAATATATTCTAAGTGGTAGCTCTTAGGCTAACATGCTAACGACGCGCCCTCTGTATGCTGCTAATGGCTCCCTGAGTAGGAGATGATAGTACTACTGGCACCAAAAGCAACTGGCAGACCCTTATGTGGAAGTATCCAAAAGGCTGCGCGATAAATCCATGGAATACGATTTCATTGCGGCATAATCATCCGCATCAGGAGATATCTCGGACGCTCTCGCGATTCCAGGCCGTTCACTACATTAGCTTCACGTCACCCGTGCCGATCACTGAGGCATTTTATGCGAACTGCTGAATACTCTATGCTCTTCTCAGGCTGAGACATGCCGTATGATTGTGATTATCGTCTCAGAGCCGTGAGGGGAATGGTCCTTCCTGCCTGAAGCGACGCCGTTGATTCCTGAAATTCCAGGAGGAAATTTTCGGCCCGTCACCTGACTGGCTCCCCCACACGAGCCAAAAGTCCATCAGCAATCATCGTCGCACTCGCTGGTCGAGCATCCATCCAGGTCTCGTCCTCTTCTCGCCAACTTATAAGTTTAGAGCGTTGGAGCCGTACCCGATAACTTATCGTCCGGCTCCAAAAGCGTTGGGCCCTTAACTGCTTCCGCGCCGATCGTAAGTTGGCCGCCCCATCCATGTCCCTCGCTCCAAGCGTGTTACACTCAGGCACCTCGCTTTTTATCCATACCCCACCGGTCTTGGAGACGCTTTAAGTGCCTGTTTCCCAGACCTCCTGTACATGTATCCATCCATCGTTTAAGCAGGAATCTGTGACACTCGAACATTCCTGTTGTTATATTTCAGCCTGTAAAAAATGTGTCTACTAAAGTACTCATGTTCTTCATACTTCGCTCGACTTCATCTTGCGGCGCAGATCAACATCGATCACGATTTAGCGCTGTAGTTGATGGCTAACAAAGTCTCCCCAGATGACATCAGTTTGGTGTACATATCAGCGCGCAAGAGACTTGGGGTACATCAAAATTGACTTTCGACGTTAAATATGGCCAGTACACGTGATTCTCACTCCTATGCTGTGAGTATTCTATGTAAAGGGGAAGAGGCAACCTATCAAGCTAATAGTGGACATACAGTGTGATGAATGTCGGCTCCGGAAGTCCAAGGTAAGTCGCTCCTACGCAGTCACTCGGCATTTAGCTAATCTTCATCGCAGTGCTCGAAAGAGAAGCCGACATGCGCACAATGCAAGCAGTTGAACAAAGAATGCAATTACAGTCCTAAGGTCACCAGAAGCCCTCTAACACGACAGTAAGTCCTTCCATTGCCTTGGGGTTCCAGTACTGTCGTCAAAATCCCATGATTCATGGAACCAATCAATTGCTAATCCTTGCTCAGACACCTGACCTACGTAGAGGAGCGCTTACAGGCCTTCGAAACAGCGCTATCAAGGCTGTTCCCAGGCGGCGATCTGGATGCCACCGTCCGCTCTCTTTTGCACGATCAGGAGGGTCCACCAAAACCTGGCTCCTCGAAGTCCTCGTCCCGGCATTCCACACCTGCAAAAGCTGAGCCGGATCGGGCCGAACCAGCCCCGGAAGCGCTGCCGCAGCAGGCTGATGGATTTGACTGGGCGGAGAACAAAATTACAGTTGGCGACCTGACAGATGGCATGGCAGCCCTGTCCATTAAGCCAGAAGGAGCTGGCTACTTCGGTCAGTGTGTCCGACTGCTTTGCAACTCGGGATTGCAAGTGCTAACTGTCTGTATTAGGCGCATCTTCCAGCGTTGTGCCGCTTCGAGCGTTGTTGAAGCATGGTTTTGACCTGAACATCCCTGCCAGATCCTCAAAATCAAGTTATGGCATGGAAAGAGTGCCTTTGAAGGCTCAACTACTCAGCACCGCGCCCTCTGGTCTCGTCGAACAAGCTTTCATGGATGCATTCTTCCTCAACTACCATACCAGCTACCCTTTCGTCCACGAGGGCACTTTCCGAGCGCAGTTCTACGAGCAAGTTCCGCGGCCACATGGTCAGGCATGGCAGATCCTATTGAACACGATCTTGGCTTTGGGGGCGTGGAGTATCGGTGACGACAATTCTGACCTGGATATTACATTCTATCAAGAGGCGAGAGGTCATTTACAGCAGGTGTCTGTGTTTGAAACCGGAAACCTCACTCTTGTTCAGGCATTACTGCTTCTGAGCAACTATGCCCAGAAACGGAACAAGCCTAATACCGGATGGAACTTTCTCGGTTTGGCGGTTAGGATGGCCATGAGCTTGGGCCTCCATAAAGAATTTCCTGGTTGGAAGATCAGCCTTCTCCAGCGCGAGGTTAGGCGGCGCCTGTGGTGGGGAGTATACATCTTCGATAGCGGTGCGGCCAAGACTTTCGGCCGGCCTATTCTCTTGCCTGAAGACGATGTCATGGACGCAAAACATGTACTCAATATCCACGATGAGGTAAGACTCGGCATTGTGACTATAATCCTCTAATCTGGCGTACAATGTCTGATTCATTCTGCAGGCTCTTACGCCCCTCACTACCGCTCTACCCCATGAAGTCAACGAACCAACCCTCTATTCCGGTTTAATAGCCCAGGCTAGGTTTCATCTCCTTACCAACAGTGTGTATCAGCGTCTCATCTCAGGCCCGAGTTTAACGCCAGAGGAAACGCTCGGTCTCCAAAGACCAATGGAAGAATGGTACAATGGCCTTCCTGATTACTTCAAGCAACCACTCACACCGATATCGGATGCATTCGCTCTTGTCCGCAATCGGTTGATGTGGCGCGACTGGAACTTGAGGATTCTTCTATACCGTCCCATTCTTCTTCGTTGGGCATCGCGTCGATGGACACCAAACTCGGCCCCCGAACCTGAGGATCCGCTCGAGGCAGATTGCAGGAGGCTTTGTCTTCGGAATGCGCGATTGACAATATCATCGATCGCAGATTTTGTAAACAACCACGTCTGCACAAGGATTGGTGCATGGTACATGCTGTATGTCTCCCATGACCCTCTTCCTTGACACCGCTGACATTTTCCCTAGATACTTCCTGTTTCAAGCTGGTGTCATCCCGATCATCTTGCTTATGACCGACCCGACAAGTACGGAAGCCCCTAGCTGGCTCCAGGAGATCGAATCCACGAAGAAGCTCCTGGTACACCCTTCTCTTAGCAACAACCGCCTTGCGACTCGTTGTCTGGAAGTTGTCAATCGACTCTGTTCGCCTGCATACACGAGTGCCGCCCACGATAAGACTGCGGGACAGACAGCACCCATATTAATGCCCTTTTCCGATCAGCTCTTCAACGATCCAACCTTTGGTAGCATGTTTCCGGACGTGGACCAGGAGCTGAATCTTGCTGGCATGGACTTCTCGGAATGGGTAAACTTCCCTCCACAAAACGAGTTTGTCTGAGCATCTGTCAATGCCGAGAGGAGATGATTTCGAGGCTAGAGTCGGTCAAGGGTCATACATGAATGTAGCGGAGCCTACAGAACAAAAGAGGATGTCACAGCCGGAACTTCATTCCTCGAAGGGCCCGCTTCCTGAACTGTCACACCAAACGGAACCCGCTATGTGATATGAAGGCGGAAAATTGCAAGAGATTATCAAAGTTATGGACCCTCACGCAACGTCTTCTTCCTCCTGTGCGAAGGGCTTCACGAATTCCGGGTCGACCGTGTGACTATCGATGCCGCGCAGTTGAGCCTCAATTCCGACAATACGCTGTTTCTCTTCATGGGCAGCCGTGTCACCAAAGATGAGATCCATATCTTCCAGAGTCTAACCAAGTCGCCATCTTAGTGATGTCAAGTGGATAACCAAGGGCAAACCAAACATACCTTTCCACGGGTCTCTGGGATGAAGAAGAAAGTGAACCCGAATGCCAGAAGGCAGAACGCTGCGAAAAAGATATAGGTACCCCAGGTGATTGAGTCGAGCATATCAGGGGTGACGAGACCGATGATACTAGGTGCAAATGTCAGCAATGAGTCATGACAATCATGGATACAAAAAAGAAATGGCAAAAACAAAGGACTTTCTGGACATACAAGTTACACATCCAAGTAGCGGAAGTTGTGATGGAAATAGCTTTGGAGCGTATGGATAGATTGAAGATTTCCGATGGCAGGACCCATCCGATAGGAGCTATATGCACATTAGCACGATCCACTTTCCATACAAAGTAGTAGACAAACAAACCAAAAGAGTACGAGAAGTTAATATCGTAGATATAGATGAACGCAATCCCCGCCCACCCGGCAGATCGGTGATGGATGAGATCCGACCCATAGGCCCCGATAATCGCACCCACGATCACCAGTGAGATACAGGTCCCCGTGGCACCAGACATGAGCAACACTCTCCGACCGACTTTGTCGATTAGGAAAAGCGCGGGCAGGGTGCTAAGGCAGTTGATGATCCCGTATACGCCGGTAGCGAGAAGGGAGCTCTATTTGATCGTGTTAGTTCGTCAGCTGGTTTTGAGATAAACAGAAGATTTATAAGCGTACGGTATTTCCATCGAGGCCCAGCTGAGCGAAGATTGTTGGGGCGTAGTAAATTATGGCTTTGGGATTGATTAGCACATGCCATCTATAACAGGAGGTAAATGACGTACCATTACACCCCATAAACTGCTGAAAGAACATAATACAGCATCCGATTGCTAGGCGCTTGAATCGTGCCCATGTTGTTACGAGTGAAATATACTATTGTCATCACCATCGACATTGACGAGTTAGAATGATGCTCAACGTTGAATTGTGGGTATGTTGGGAAAGAGGGGAGGGGAACGAACCTGCGCAGCATGCAACCTGAACCCCGATAAATCCGGGAACTGTTCTCTAGCGAAACTATTCTCCAGCATAATGGATGCTTTGATCTCGAGGTATTCGTTCGTCAGGTCTGGGTTACTGGTTGATTGGCGACGTAGTCTGGACAATGCCTGGAGAGCCTCGTCGTCCCGTTCTTGCATGAGTAGCCATCTGGGGGAGTCGGGGAAGAAGAGCATCCCTATGCCGAGGGTTAGGGCTGGGATGATCTGGATGGCTAGTGGGAGACGCCAGGATGCTTCGGATTGGCCGGTGCAGATGCCGTCCTGGGGAATGTCTGTGTAGGGGTCGAATGAGGGGGAGGTGGCGGTGCCGCCTGTGTAGGGGATGTTGGGGGCGCAGCGGGTGCCGCCGATGTAGTTGGTGCCGTAGTCGATCCAGTAGCTTATTAGGATGCCGATGGTGACGGAGACTGAGTGGGTTAGTGTGTGTGTGGTTGTGTGGTAGAATTGGGAGATACTCACGTTGTTGGAGAACGACGAGACCTCCGCGTATTTCGGGGATGGAGACCTGTTTGGTTCCGGTGAGTACTGTGGTTGTTGTGTTGAATGTGTGGGTGAGGGTGTATATGTACCTCGGAGATATACAGAGGTACTACCATGGTTAGTTGGCCCACGGCTACGCCTGCGATTGCACGTCCTGTGGTGTGTGAGCTGTTTGTCTGGGGAAGGGCGTTGGAAATGTCAGAGGAAGGATGCATACCAGCAAAAAGCATTGGTATGTTCACGGCACCGCATTGGATGGCTGACCCGATGACGAATACAACGACAGCAAGATTGATGGATAATTTGCGGCCTAGTCGGTCCACGATAGGGCCGTTGATGAGGGATCCAAACCAGGCAGCTATGGAGACAGTCAGTGACCGTACGTTCATATGTGTGGAGTGATTGGCATGATGAGACATACAAATCAACAAAGTCGACACAAACCACCCCTTGAAGCTGCTGTCCATGTACACTCGAGGAAACTGAGCGCCGAACGATTGCATGGTTATCACACCAGAGACCACGCCCTGATCATAGCCAAAGAGCAGTCCACCCAATGTGGAGAACTAGTAGATTTTGAATCAGGTCAGAACATTGCTTGATTCTTCAGGATTGTATGAAACTCACCGATGCAACGCCCAGCAGGTAAGGGTTTTGGTATATCAGGGCGAAACCACCATTGGGATTCTGAGTACTAGGAGCCATAACTGCATACTTCTTCAGCGTTAGACTCTTGACGCACAATCCACATATGACTGATATCCGAGGACAGTGTCTCCTTATAACTATAGCCCACTCACCTATGTTTATATCTATCCCCGCGAAGAAGCATCAAGCTAGAACGGAGAGGTGTACTCCGTCCAATGGACACAGAATCCCACGTTCTGAGGACGACAGCAAGAGGTTTAGAAACAACTCACGAGGGGTGTCAACTAGAGTATCAACGGAGTCGGAGAAGAGTACTCCGCAATAGGTACGTAGTGACTCGCCCCTGTCATGACAATAGCATCTAGAGGTGTACACCACGGAATGGATGGATGCGGGGAAAGGTTGAGAGGAAAGCGGAGTTGCTCCGTGGACCCCACCGTGGGGGGAAGAAGAACCAAAAATCGGGCCATGATTAGAGTTGTTGACCGAACATCAACAGTTCGGCCGGTGTGGGTTGTGGATGAGAAGATGATGACTCCTGTCCGATAGAGAAGAATCAGATGACGCTTGGCCATCATGTGATGATTATGGACTGGTTTCAAAATGAATTGTGTTCTTGCCTGAAGCAGCACAGTGCAGCCTTAGGATCTAGGTACACAGACAATCGCAAGAGTATCTATTATGGATCTACCGGGTAAGCAGCCGAGACCGAGAATCTTCCAGTACCAGATATTAATGCGGATACTAATTAATTCACAAATTATGTACGGCATTCCGCTCCTTCTTCCCCTCACACATTCAGATCACAGCATGTTGCGTCATAACTCCCCGATGCTACGTGAAGCGGAATGATGACCCGGTCACTTTGTCTAAGAGGTGGTACAGTCTGCTGTGGTGGCAGTTGTATCTCAAATAACATGAAATGAGGGGGTTCGTCACCGCATGCACGCCGGGTATATGATGCAACAGTCGCATGTGGGATGCTTATCGGCCACGCATTTGATAGGCTTCCAAGCAGCCACCATGCAAGACATTCCTGCAGACAAGGACCGAGGAGGTTTACAAACAAGATGTAGGACTTGTCAGTCTTGGTCTGGGCTGGTTAATCCCGGGTGGCATGCGGGAAAGCCTTGCGAACCCGCTTAAGCAACTTTCTGACTGCGTGACTTTGCAGCTCGGTTATGCCATGCTTCGTTTGCCAACGGCATTGATGCACGCCATCCAGCAGTCGGATTTAAAAAGGGAAAATGAGTGATCTTATCCCAAGTCTCACAATTTGCACCTAGAGCTGAAGATAACCCACGCCCACCGAATGCGACGCACAGCATAGACGCTAAAAAGGAACAGAGAGGCTGTTGGAGCAATTAGGAATACGAAGCAAATAAGCCACAACCTTGCCAATGCCATACTGATAACAATACGCTTCTTCGCCAAGCCAAGCACTAGGACAATAGCCTCCGTTCACCCTGCTGGAAACCAGACTTGCATATTCGAGGGAAAGAGCGTAACACAAATTATTCAGGCGCTAAAGATCGTGGGGAAATTCCGGTTCAAACTACTGCTCACATGGCCGAAAAGTAATAAGGCAATGACCTTTCATTTGCGGGAATCGCTGGGCTCCCAGTGGATGGGTTCGAAATCCTGGTTCTGGAAATGGGCTTGATTGTATGGTGAACTACTGCAAGGGTTAGAATGTGGCACCGGCAAGTGCAGAAGGGCGTCATAAGCGGTGAGACGGAGATACTCACTTCTTGAACGGCGTGGTGACTGGAAGGGAGTGGCTGAGGTTGGGTTTCATCACTAGTGGGTTCAACCGGATTTGCGGCCCGTCAGACGACCGGGGCGGCAGGGAGCTCATGGGCGGTGGTGGTGCCGACATCCTCGGTGGCACTGGCGGGGGTGATGCGATAGACATGGGAGGTGATGCATGCATGGGGGGCGGCTGGTACACTTCCTGAGGGGGAGATACCCGGTACGGACTGGGAGGAGCCGCCGGCATCGGAGAGGGTGCCATGCCAAAAGAAGGGTCCATCATCAGATTGGGAATGGTCATCAAACTGGAGTTCACATCGAACGCGAGGGCACCTTGATCCCAGGGGGCATAGTCAGAAGTCATTGCGTATTGGTAATTAACCACGGGTTCCATATTCACAGTAGGTTCGGCTGGGTAGAGAAGGTCATAGTGGCCCCTACGGCTATGTTAGCGTGATCCATGGCGCTCATTTGATTACGAGTCTGCGCATCGCAAATGAGACTCACGGGCGGTAAAGTAGGCAGATAGTCCCGCCAGTAGCCCGCGGCGGGGTCAGGAGATGAGGAGTGACCGCTTCACCTTCGCTGCGGTCGAGATACATGATCTCCACGGCGAATCCGGACCCCTCGATTACCCCATCCACCAAGGCTTGGAGGCCGATCTCGTCGATTTCCGTTCTGACCACGTCTATTCGTGTCGCGCAATATTGCTCGAGGGGCATGGAGAGGAAGGCTTCGTATCGAGACGGGTGAAGTTTCATCCAGGCGCTTGTTAGCAGCTGTAGTACATTGCGTATTAACATGTCAGTCGCAAAACCCCAGATTCCCGGTCGATATGCGGGAAGAATATAGCAGCGCTGCAAGGATCACTGACCCTGAAATGAGTGATGATAGCATTTGAATTGTACTCTTCGTTGAATGCATTGACGAGGAAAGTCTCATCCCGGATGCCGTTTTGGATGGCAGTGCTTATCTGGTTGAACACCTCCTCTGTTGCGTCCACGAAAATCTCGTATAGGTGTTCTTCTTGACCCGTTTGGTCGAGGAGTGCGTTCATCGCCTTTATCCGCACCAATTCATGGTGTACCTGCATGGGATTCTGAAGGTTGAGCAAGTTTTCAAAGTATCCAAATGCAACGGCTACACAGTGTAAGCAAACCTCCATCGCCAATGATACGGGAGTGATTACCTCTCCAACCACAATTTCCGTCTCCTTTCATGGTTCGTGTCAGAGGGTGCGTTATAGCAAGAGCCTGTTGGAACCACTGTGAGTCGCTTCGGCTCCCACTTCCGGGGGGTTGAAGGAGTGACAAGTGAAGGAGCGTACATTGGTCTTGGTGGCAAATGTCGGATCCGCATTTGCATACTCCATAGCAATGACGCTACTGGACTGTTTCGTAGACACCGGAGGGCCCTTCAAGTGCACGTGTGAGCCGGATAGTCTGGACATGGATCATCAAGTCCCTTACCTGAACGTCGGGTTGAAACTCATTGGAGAGTTTCTGGAACCTCTCCATTTCGGCGGTCGAAAGGGTATTCATGTTGAAGAAAAAGTTGTTGCCTGGATGATAAAGGACGTTTGAAAGTTGCGAGTATCCGTGATCGAAGAATGCGGATGAATGAGGGTGTTGGGGATAGAAGCCGGAAGTTGAATCCTGTCCAGTGGGAAAGTGGTTGATAGGGTCGAAATGGTTCCAGGGAAGATCCGACAGGGACATCGCATAGAAAGACGTTGGATATACGGCTTCAGGAGCAATCTCTTAGGGATGGAGAAGTCGCCAGAAGCCTTTCCTTAGCAGGGAGACAGGACCTTTATTCACTTAGCGAAGAACATGATGAAAGAACGTAATACACACGAGACAAATGAGCATCGTTTGAAACAAAGTTCTTGTGTGACACAGTGATGACCAGCCGGCTGGGTCTATTCACTGATGTAACCGACCTACTATGTGACGTCCTTAGCATATCTCGTCAAGCCGGTAGCCGTGCAGAAGATGCAAGAGGGCTGTTTCCCGGGATTTCATCCGTGAAGAGATGAACAGACTCAGCCAATGGTGAAGAGAGAAGCAACTGATCTACCAAGGATGTGGGAAGGTGCTAGCAGAAGTGATGAACCAAAGCCGGTTGCCAGCCGCAGAATCACGTCCACGGGATCCGACGCTGGCATTGGAAAGGCAAGAAAGATCAAGACTCGCGGGACCGAGGTACCAAAAACAGGATGGAGGAATAGAGGATCAAGATGAGAAAAGGGAGGGGCTGACATAGCCGGGGAAAGGGGAGGTCAGAGGCAGCTGAGCAGGCAGAGACATAGAGTACGCAATCATGCACTTGGCTCGAGGGATGCGAGAGCCAGAGATGAAAGAGCATCTGGCGATGCTGAGTGGCGCGCAAGGCCACGGCCTCTGCACTCAATCAACCCTCCTTTACAAAAAGACTTCCAGGCCGGCGAACGCCAGACAGAATGGGGTGGAAAAGGATTCCCACACGGTTGACATGCCAGCACTCACACGCCTTGCATCTGATGCACTGGGAGATGTAACGGATGCTACTCCATCGTCGATTGGGTGCCCTTGGAAGAATTGCAAGGTACCCGGAACGCCACTGGGATTAAAGATCGGGGTGGATATTTGATGGTCGGGGAGAGCCAAGACAGTAATGATGAATGCAGAGAAAGCCGCAAGAACGAGAAATAAAGGGATAAAGAGGGGAGAAAGTGTTGGGTGGGAAGAAAGGGCAAAAGCGAAGGAATGGGGGAGAGAATAGTACAGAGAGAACCGGGATGCGAAGGTAAGATAACACAAACCGGCAAGGTGATGTCAAAGCCCATTGAAAGGAAAAGCGTGGTTGGACCTACTGGAAATCTGCAACAAAGCTCTCTCTCTCTCTCTCTCTCTCTCTCTCTCTCTCTACGGCTGAAGTGCATACGTCCCAGGGGTGTCACATGTGCCGTGGCATCAATGCTTGGGATGCGTCGGTGAAAGTGGCCGATGGAAATCGTTGGGTGTTATACTATGCCCCAAAGCGGTAATGATGATAGACAGTCCGTCGCTCTTCGGAATGGCGGGAGATCCAGTAAGATAGAAGTGGTTTTTTGTTTTGAGGGGCAAAAGGGTGAGGAAAGTGGGCGGGCCAAAGTGTGGGCGGGAAACTGTAAAGTGTGGGAGGGGGAGGGTAAAGAGGAGGAAAAGGCTGAACGATGGATTCTGGATGGTCAGGGCGACCGGCTAATCACTTGACGGGAAAGTGGAAGACAGGATGATGGATGATGGATGATGGGATGAACAGATTTAAGGTAGGAGGAAGAG